TCCTGGCCTGTGTCAGAAATGGTGTGACCAACAGGACCAGGGAGGTGATCGTGCCCCTAGACTTGGAACTCGTGAGACTGCACCTGGAGTACTGTGTCCAGTTTTGGGCACCACAGGATAAGAAGGACATGGAGGTGCTGGAGCAGGTCCAGAGAAGGGCAGCGAGGCTGGAGCTGCAAAGCATGCTTTATGAGGAGCAGCTGAGGGAACTGGGGTTGTTTAACCTAGAGAAGAGAATACTGAGAGGAGACCTTATCGCTCTCTACAACTACCTAAAAGGAGGTTGTAGTGAGGCTAGTGTTGGTCTCTTTTTCCAAATTACTGATGATAGGATGAGGGGAAATGGCCTTAAGTTGTGCCAAGGAAGAATTTGATTAGGTATTAGGAAGAATTTTTTCACTGAGAGAGTGGTTAGACACTGGAACGGGCTGCCCAGGGAGATGGTGGAGTCATCATCCCTGGAGGTGTTCAAAAAATGAGTGGATGTGGCACTTGAGGCTATGGTCTAGTGGTTAGGGAAATGTTGGGAGGAAGGTTGCACTTGATGATCCTGGATGTCCTTTCCAACCATAGTGATTCTATGATTCTATACTAGTTAAAGGAGATGCCAGTATTTTTTTTTTTTCCTTAAATAAAATGTAGGTATTTCACAGAATCACAGACAGAATTGTGGGGGTTGGAAGGGACCTCTGGAGATTATCTTGTCCAACCCCTCTGCTAAAGCAGCCTCACCTAGAGCAGGTTACAAATGAACACATCCAAGCAAGAAGGCAACTCCACAACCTCTCTGGGCAGCCTGTTCCAGGGCTCTGGCACCCTTGCAGCAAACAAATTTTTCCTCATGTTTATGTGGAACCTGTGTTCCACTTTGTGTCTGTTGCCTCTTGTTCTTGCCACTGGGCACGACTGAGAAGAGTCTGGCCCCATCCACTTGATACCCACCCTTTAGGTACTGATAAGCTTTGATAAAATCCCCTCTCAGTCTTCTCCAGACTAAAGAGTTCCAGGTCCTTTTCTCATGACAGAGATGCTCCAGTCCCCTCATCATCTTCATAACCCTCCATTGAACTGTCTGCAGTAGTTCCTTGTCTCTCTGTTTGATCAATAATTTTCATTTTGCAAAGGAAGATAGGATTCACTTAATCACTGTTCTGACCTTGTTCAAGTTCAGATTTGGGTGAATAGAGGATATGGTAGGAAAACAGCAAACTACATAAAATATTGCCTCCTATATTTTGGTGTCATTGAGTGAGTTTAGAAAAGTATTTAAATCCTTCATGTCATGTTTGAGTCAGGACTCTATCAGGGTCCACTTCAAAGTGTCTGACAGCAACAGCAGCCACTGCATTACTTTAACTGGACTTTTGATTAAGCCTGCAGGCACACATCTTCAGAGACATGCAGGCATTTAACACTTTTTAGGTGTTTAATTAAAAGCATTGGAAAGATTTTGGATGACTGAGTCCAGCTTCTCAAAGGCATTTCTGAATTTTATGAGTTCCTAAATGAATGTGTGATTTAATCTATATTGCCTAACAAATTTAAAGGCCAGCATCTCATTTATACTGAGGCCAATGATTTCAGGAGAAAGTAATCAAGCTCTTTACATTAATAGTGTGACATCAATGAATTTTAAGATTACATCAGTAAGACGTGCTTGGACTAACCATTGCTGAGGTTAATGAGTGTCCCCTTCATCCCTGAGTTAGGTACACATGATCCATCTGCAGCGCCTGGGAAAACTGATTGCCTAAATATAGCAAAACAATTATCAGAGCAGTATTTATTGGTCCCCCTTCTTCGTGTTCAAAGTGTGGAAGAGAAGGGGTCAGGTGCTTGTTCTGGCTTAGTGAGCGGTGCAAGGAGGCAGCTGTGGTCTGTAGGCTGGGGCAGATTTGTGCAAGGTCAGCTAGTCACAGGACTGCCAGGCTGGTGAGCTGTGGGGAAGCACTAGATGCACACCAGGTAAGGTGAGTAGAGCTGGGATTTTTAGGTGCATGTGTGCCCCTGAAGTGAGCCAAAGCTTCCACAGAGCTTTATGGGAGGAATGACACACTGTTTCCCCACTATGTTTTCATTCCTATATACAGCTTTAATTTGGTTACCTTAGAAGTTGTCTAAATGCTGATGCTGGGATGACTTTGTATTTCTTACTACGTGTGAATGCCAAGACATCCTTCCTGTTGGACCCATATTAGTGAAGAAAAACAATATTCTTATATGTGCATGTGTTGCACAGCCCGAAAAATCAAAATTGCTCACTTGATATGTATAACAAGCAGTATGTATACAGAAAATGCAATTGATTTTGCAGCTTCAAAAATTTGAATTTTGAAGTTACCTAAAAAATAGCTCTATTTTGTGGAGGGTCTTCTGCAGCTGGAAGGCTGGGTGGAGTAGGGAAAAGGGTACTGGGAAAATATGGTTTATATGATCACAGTGTCACACACAAAACTGAATTAAGGCTGCAAGGGGCAGGATATAAAGACATTCAGCTATTTGATTTTTTTCAAGGCAAATAAAATCCTCTTAATTATTTTTCACTGCTTTTCTGATTTTTTTTAAGGAAAAAAGCTCAAACTAATTCTTCTATATTTAATTTAGATATTCCTGTATTGAGTCTAGTAACTTGGAGCTGAAGCACATCCTTTGCAAAGCAGCAGACATTGATTTGGAGACATCAAAAGATGAAAAAATTACTCCTTTTGTTGTGTAATTTGTTCAGTAATAATCAGCCTAGCTGTTAGGAAAAAATCTGTCATTGTTTCTAAGCTGAGTTTGTCTGGCTTTGACTTTTACGTATTTCCCCTTGTTATGCTTTTCTTTGCAGTCTGAAAGAGCTCTTCAGGACCTGCTATTTTCTCCCTATGGCGGTCTTCAGACACTGTAATCAAGTCACCTCTCAGTGTTCTTTTTGATAAACTAAATGTGCTCAGCTCTTTAAGTTACTCACAGTAAAAATTTTCTCCAGTCCTTTCACCTATTTTTTGTGACACTTTTTATGCACCCTTCCCAACTTTTCATAGTATTTTTTTTTTCAATATGAACAAGACAAAGGTTCCAAATGTCATCAGTGACATCTGTAGAAGTAAAATTACCTCTCTACTATTCCTTTTCAGACATTTAATGGAAATTAGTCCATTTTAGCACAGATTTGCAATCTGAGTGTTTAGTAAGTTTTTGTTCAGTCTTACAGCCGAGATGCACTCAGAGCTGTTACTTCTTTCACCATCAGGGAAGATACTAGTCTCTTAATGTGCCTTATATTTGTTTCTTCTAGCCATATACTCTCATATCTGTGCTTGAACAGTGCCTTATGGGCTATAATGTGACCTACAGGACAGACTTGCCTTCTCTGCTGGAAAGCCGGCTGAGGAGACTGATCTGGGAGGGGGCAGAAGCCCATCTCTGCTTGTTGAGTGCCTCCTTGCACCACCTTTGACCTTGGAGAAGCTCAAACCAGGGCAGAGGGAGTGTGGACCATGGGGGTCACACTATCAGTGTAGAGCTTTTGTCTCTGATTCCTTTTGTCTGGCTTTGCTCAGAGATCTCTAATGCTTCAGTGGCTATTGTTTTGTTCAAGATGTGAGCCTGGGTGTGGTATCTGGGTGAGAAAGATTTACTTTTTTTAACCTTGCAGTCCTCTTTTCTATGCTTTGATCCAGCATTTGTTTTCATTTTCTCAATAAATCATAATTAGAGTGTTTCAGAAAAAGCAGTGCTGTTTTCGACATTTTGTGTTGGTCCTAAGCTGACATTGCTGCCCATACTAATAGCTAACTTACGTATTTGGCACATTTTGTTAACACTGCTTAAATTTTTGTTTTAAATGATTTTTCATTTTATACATGAAAATTTTAAAGGCAAATAGACACATTGCCCTACATGTTCCTTAACCTACCTGGTTGAATCTTATATTTCCACTGTAAATTAATAATGGCATAACAAAATCTAGCTCAGTGTGTTTCTGTGTGTGTTACAAAAGCACATTTTAGTTGGGGCATACATTCAAAATATGGGGCTGAAACAGTTTGAAAATTTGTCATTGAATCTGATTACAAATTAACAGCAATGAATAAAAGTAATTAATTGAGGGGAAGCATTTCAGAAAGGACAGTTAGATATATCCCTATGCTGTCAGGGTCTCCTTCATCCTTTGTGTTCATAGTGGAGTGGATGCAGCCTCCACACCCTGGGCCACAGGCTGCTCCCCCAAACTGTCATTGAGGCAGAATAAAGCAGGGCACTATGTTAAAAAAAAATCCTAGTCTTCTCTGTAAGCTGAGGTTCCTACCAGCTGGACAAAAGAAGTATTTTATTTTGTTGAAATTAAAGAACACAATAAAAATATTGCTATGATAGTTTTGTTTTCTTTTCTCCATTATGGTATACTGCTTAAACAATAGTCATCTTCTACATCAACAGTCACAAAAGAGAGGACTGGGAAAAGCTGTTGGTAAGAAAGGAGGAGAAATTGTAAATGAAGGAGCAAAGATGGGAAGTGACTAAAACTTGTGTAAGCTGGTATCACTGTAGTAAAATCAAGGGAGAGAAACTATCATATAAGAGGAAATCTCTCCCAGAAGGCACAGCAGCTATGTGGATCCTTAGGATGACTGTTCCTTCCACAAAACAAACCCAGAGAGCTCATAATCACTGACAGTTAGCTAAGAAAAGAAACACAAAACATTTTTTATTATTTGCAAATGTAACTATGGTATTTTCTTGTAGAACCATTTGAAAAAGAATTAAAACCAGAATTTGGATAATTAGATTAAATGCATTCTTATACCTGGTTTTGCCTATGGAGAATAGCTCCAGCTACTAATTCAGGTGCTGAGAGACTGAGTCAAATGTGTTTATTATCATCCCAGGGGCCTTCTATTTGTGTACACTTCTGTCATAAATTAGAAATGGTAGAGAAAAAAACAGCTATGGCAAAGCCTAACTGATAGTGTTGCATATCTGACTGTGCATAAACATATTTTGAAATAACAAAGCCTTGCTTTTTTTGTTCTTCAGGTACACGAAGATGAAGACAGCAACCAACATCTACATTTTCAATCTGGCTATGGCAGACGCGCTGGTTACCACGACCATGCCTTTCCAAAGCACCGAGTACCTGATGAATTCTTGGCCCTTTGGTGATGTGCTGTGTAAAATAGTTATTTCAATTGACTATTACAACATGTTTACCAGCATATTCACACTGACCATGATGAGTGTTGATCGATACATTGCCGTGTGTCACCCTGTGAAGGCTCTGGATTTTCGTACACCTCTCAAGGCAAAGATAATCAACATCTGCATCTGGCTATTGTCCTCATCTGTCGGTATATCCGCAATAGTTCTTGGAGGTACCAAAGTCAGAGAAGGTGAGTGTGAGCATATATAATTCAGTCTTTTTGTTTCTCAAATTACATAAAATGCAGTTTTGAATATTGGTTAAACCAGATTGATTTCTTCTTCTAAAATTATGTCCAAATTTCTGACATTTTAAAATATATTTTGGAACGTTGCTGTATATTATATAAATCATTTAAGCTCAGATGCTCTTGCCAACTAAAAGGACAAAATGCACTATGAAGCATTGTCTGTGCTAGAATGAGGCCATCAAAAACTACGAGCAGACAGAAGGGGAAAATAATCAGGAATGTGGTCACAGAGGATAGAGATCAAGAATCATTTTATGATGAAACTTGAAATGTGGGTTTGAAGTACCTTTTGTAGGTATTATGAGAGTAGTTCTGAGCAAGGTCCAAGAGCAGAAACTAGATTGCTTGTCATTAGTATTAATAGTAAAACTATCATTAGTATCAAGACTTGGGCGCTTATTATAAACAGTCATCTCACAGAACTTGACGGCATGGTGAAGAAAGGAAAAGTCAGTAGATGGAAAGAGAAAATCAAGCTGAATTATATATGACATTATCCAAAATTCTTGTATAAAAAGGGTTGGAGATGTATATAGAGACTTATGAAAGCTGAGAATAAGGATTAGCAGAGGAAATAGGAATACAGACCATGGTAGGGAAGCAACTACAAGAACACGCAGTCCATGAGATTTGTATGCACACTGCCTGTAGGATCTGACTGAAATTTTTAACTCATGAAGGACTGTGGATTTAGCCCCTATAACTGGTGACTCATTACCAAAACTGCCCTACTGTGGGGTTAATCTTATTCTGAAATCCTCCTTGAGAAGGAAAAGGCAGAAGCATTCTCACACATATATACTTCATACCCACAAGCATGACTGCAGTGCAGGAGGACTTCAGTGACTTCACAAGGCTTGAGGCCATCCTGTTAATGTATGGCCAGAAAAAATACAAGACATGCATATTTTTTTGGTGGTAGTCTTGTTTGAGACGTAAATAATCTTTTGAAATGTGATCAATAATTTCCTAAATTAACAACCTTTTCCACTACAGAGGTTTCCTTGCTCCCAAGAGGAATCGGTGACTTTACATCAGGACACTGTTTTATCTGGCAGAGACAATAAATGTTCTGTGTTAAACTGTTTGGCATAGATCAGTGCAAGCAAAGCATTTCAGTAAGAGCTGCTCAAGGGCTGAAGATGTGTAAATTTTGTTCTTGCTGTTGGTCTTCTGGTGGGTAGGTGACAGGACAGTCCTCCAAAGATTCTTCTTTCATCCCTTTAGTGCATCAGGTGTCCTGGTCTGCAGAGATGTAACTCCTCCCCAGTAAAGTTTTGACAGGCTCTATAAAACAATGTCTATCTCAGGAAACATTAATTTTCAGGCATCTTCATTTGAGAAGAATGTCTCACTAGGTACAGGTCATGTTTTAATTAACCCTATCCAAACCCAGGACATTATGAGGTTATGCTTAACTAGCAAAATATTAGGGGAGAAGCAAGGATCCTCCCTTTGCCTGGCAGCTGGAGTACAGGACCAAAACTTTGTTTTTTATATAAATACATATGTAAATAGGTTTATATGCTACTGAGCTTCTGTTGGATTCAGATTTAAAGAACAACTGAACATCAAATGGAAATCGATTATATTCAGAGTTCCCACCCCATGCTCAGTTAGTCCCTTTTTCTCACAGTACAGGATTGCTCCCAGTGATGTTCTGGAGGCATTTTCCCGCAGAATACATTTTACATCTGTGTAAATATTCCCTCTTTGGCCTTAATGGAGCCTTTCTCACTGAAGAATTCTTCACTTAAAAAAAGAAAAAAAAAATCAACAGTACTATTGATATTCCTAGTAGTATGAAGGCTCCGTTTGAGTACAGTGAGTGTGGTTGGCTTTAAAGGTGACATAATTATGTATCTAACACAAATATATTTTTTTTCTGTCAAGATTAAGATTAATCGTAAAGGGTGGCTTATCAAACACATTAAAAAATATATTTACACCAAAATACCATATAGAATATATCAATGTATTACGAATATTTGGCTTTCCAAGTGGAACAGGTCAGTATGAAATCTTAAATACTAAGTTTGTGGCACTGTACTTAGCTCTGCATCTTTCCAGGGAACAAGCATAAAATATAAATTGGATTTTATTATCTTCCAAAGTTCCTGAAAATTATTATGATATTGTGCTTTATGAGAGGGACCTTTGTGGATTACTTGCCAGTTGCACACTGGGAAATGTGAATGGTTTCCATACAATTCATAATATTATGTATATATGAAACAAATTAATATTAATGATTTTAGAATAACATTTTCCATAGTAAGTAAACCATAATGAGATGTAAGACAATCGTTAAATTTGTACTTGATAATTTAGATTTCTAAAATACCATTAATGTCCAACTACAAATTATATTAAAACGTAGCACGACCTAATTATTTTGACATGAAATTATGTCAGCAGACCTGACTGAAGAGGCAGTCTCCTCTGAGAGGGGGGGTTCTGTGAGTAGCTGTATGGGGTCCAGAGGAGTCATCCCTGATCACACCTCACTTTTATCCAGAACTCCACATCTGGATGCAGCTTTACCAGTCTAGCTGTATCCTGATTTTTATTGCTGCTGCTCAGCCATGTTCTACTAGAAATAACAACAATAATCAATGTGAAAACATCTTTGAAGATGATTGGTGATATTTCTGGAATGAAATTAAGTAAGGCAACTAAAATTATGAAAACCTAGATCACAAAGGATTTAGAAAAGTTGACTGAATATCAAGACCTTGTAAAGTCATATTTGTGCTGTCAGCAACATCCATCAGGCTTGAAAGATAAGTCTTTCACTTTTCAGTTTTCAGAATCATCCACTAGCTGTTATGTTATTTAAAATAAAACCTTAAAATATTTGGCTTTGATTTCAACTTTTTTTTTTTGAATGTTTTAGTATTCAGTATTGCCCAGTAACAGCTTTCTGACATCTAACTGTGGAAGTGTCTGTACGATACCATAATGATAACTTCACCCCCCCAGCTGTTTTTCAAAACAAATTGTCTACAATATCATCTTGACTTGTGAAGCATTTCAATAGCAGGGAAATATGGCTTGATTGAATTTTTTCTGACTAGTTTTGCTGGAGATAGATATGAAAAAATGATTTGCAAGAGTATACTGAATCATTCCACTCCAATTCAGTAAAAGCCAATGTATAATAATTTGTAGAGGAATGACAAGTTCAGAAGATAAAATGAAAAAGATCCAAAGAATAATGCAGTGCTCAAGAGAATAAAATCTAAGCTACAATTAAGACTGAAAAATCCATGTGTTACGTTGACTTGTCTTCAGTGGAGTTTAATTGACAGTAGTAGTTGTAAATTTACCCTTCCAATGCCTTGTCATTTATCTTGTTTCTTGGTTTTCCATACGGTTTATATGCTGCAAGACTTAAATGAGGTCAGCAAATGTAACCTCGGATATTTAATTCCTTAGCAGCCTCCTGTCAGATGGAAAATTTCTGGGAGAAAAAATCAAGTGACAATCTGTGACTCTGAATCCTGGCATGGGCAACCAGAAAGGGAGTAGGCTGGTGTCAGTGGCTCAGATCCTGCAGTCTCTGCACAGGGTAAATTTTCCGTGACACGATCTCCAAAAAGAGCAGCTTTCGTTTGACTCTGTGCACACACGTATTCTTTTTTTCTTCTCTTTAACTGAAAAGAAGCTGTTGCCAGGAATACAAGCAGTTAACTTGTATTCCATTTGCACTGAACAAGGCACTTGGGAAAAGATTATTACACGATTATCATATATTGGCAAAATCTTCCTACGATCGAAACCTCATTCGCCTCCCACCATTCATGATACCAAAAATCTGTCCCTGCCCACGGAGAAAAACATATGTAGTTTGCTAATAATTACGAGATTTCTATTCCACTGAACATGGTACTCATTCTGGCTTTAAATCTCAATGAAACTGAAATCAAAACATCTTAAAATTTTATATTTGTGCTCTACATTTTTAGATATTCCTGTAGGAAACAAATTTTATACAATGCTATGCATTTAGAAAACTCTCTATCTCTGAGTGATTTCTAAAGACAGATGCATAAACCCAGTTTCAATTGTATTTGAAAGATTTCCTTGGAGTGAGCTAATGATAGTTTCATTTATTAGTATCACTTTAAGTGGTAATCACTTTTCCTAGCTTATTCTATGATAATTACATTGTTTGGAATATCTAATATAAAGCAATTTTCTTCTTCGTGTTTCTTTCATTCCTAGATACTGCTAGCACTGAATGCTCCTTGCAATTTCCAGACAGAGATTACGTGTGGTGGGACATCTTCATGAAAATCTGTGTCTTTGTCTTTGCATTTGTTATTCCAGTCCTCATTATAATTGTCTGTTATACTCTGATGATCCTGCGCCTTAAAAGCGTACGGCTTCTCTCAGGGTCTCGGGAAAAAGATCGAAACCTGCGTCGCATCACCAGGCTGGTTCTTGTGGTTGTGGCAGTGTTCATTATCTGTTGGACTCCTATTCACATTTTTGTGCTGGTTGAAGCACTAGGGGATGTGTCCCACAGTACTGCTGCTATATCCAGCTATTACTTCTGTATTGCTTTGGGTTACACCAACAGCAGCCTCAATCCAATCCTTTATGCTTTCTTGGATGAAAATTTCAAGAGATGTTTCAAGGACTTCTGCTTCCCCTTTAAGATGAGAATGGACAGGCAGAGCACCAGCAGAGTCAGAAACACTGTGCAAGACCCAGCTTATATGAGAGAAGCAGATAGGACAAACAAACCTGTATGACTAGTCGTGGAAATGTCGTCTTACTGTCCTCAGGAGAGAGATGAGTCCAACGACCTGGGACTGACACAGATTACCACTGCAGTTTGAACTAGAGTCACCCAGACAGACATTTCTGGAATATTTCAGAAATCCTAATGAAGCAAGCTTATTATTGACAAACAAGAACCTCCTGAAAATAAGCTCAAATGAAAAGGACCTGGCTGATGGTCAGGTTTTGGCACCAGGTTTGCTGTACTTGAGCAGGTACTAATACATACTTTTGGGGAGACAGGAGATCATGTTGTACCAGCTGATTCTGCCTAAGGAAAGTTCTGGCTTTTCTCTTTACAATATGTAAGTTTACATTAAGAACATTTGGTCATTATGCTGAGTTATGCCAGAAACTTTTGCCTCAGCAGTGACAGCTTCTGAACTATGTAGTCTGACAACTTGATTTGTCTTACTCTTTTACAGTGAAGAGTGTTGTTTAAGTTGCTGCAGAACAATGCCAGAGCTATAATCAATATTGTCCTCAACTAATATATCTGTAACATCTGTTTGTGCAGTGGAAATCCAGTTGAAGCATGATCTGCCTACACACCAAAGTGGTTTTATTTTGTCTTTGTATGGTAAAGCATTTGCATGTTTAAAAATATTTGGATTTAAGGCGACTTGTTAGTACATTTTTAGCATGTGTTTAACCACCTGTGTAATGTTTTCTGTGTGTGATTTCTCAAGTTGATTGTATATTTATTGATTGTGAATAATATGATATGCATTTTCAGAGTGTATTTGGAACAAGAGGCTAGAAAACTTCAAATGCTTCACTTGTTACGAAACTGATGAAAACCGTGTCACGTCCGTTACATGGGGGAAATAATTACTTTCCATTTTCATTAAAGAGGACAAATGGACATAGTTAAAAGTAGTGCTGTACTTGTTTTCCTGGACAATTTGTAAGCAGAATAAAATAAATCTTTGATGAATTAGAAACTGGTGAATTAACACACGGATTATCAGGACTGATACAAAGGAAATGAAGAATAAATATGTTGGATGCTTTAATGGCACTTGATTAGAAAAGTTCCCATATTATTGATGATAATACATTTTCTTTGATACAGTTCTATGGATTCACTCAGTGTCTGTGTTTTTCTGTGAAAGAGATGCCAAGGCACAGCTACTCAAGTTACTGGCTTGCTGAAGGTAAGCCTGTGGTTAAAGCTGAGCCTAATGTTCAGCCTATAGTTGTGTTGTGGTTTGAGTTAACCCAGCTGGCAATAAAGCTCCACGCAGCTGCTTCTTCACTCCTACCCCCCCCAGTGGGATGGGGATGGGAAAATGCCAGAGAAGGCTGAGGGTTGAGACAAAGGACAGGAAGGGCTCACTCAGCAGTTACGGTTATGGGCAAAAGACAGACTTGATTTGGGGCAACAGAATCAATTAAATTTAAACAAAACCACCACCAATTCACCAATTGAATCGGAGTAGAACAGTGATGTTGTGGTGAGCAGAGCCCGCCCTCGGCAGGGATCGGCGTGCGGAAGATCTCGCGATGTAACGGAAAGCTCAGACTGCCCACGAGGGGCCTTGTGGGTGTGGCTTGTGCTATATAAG